CACCCGGGGCGAATCATGGTGGAGCTCTGGGTGGGACTACTACCCACAAGCACACTCGTGGTTTTGGGATCCCTGGAAGAACCGGTATGTGTTCACGCGGGGTGCACAGAGCTGGACATCCAGCTGGTCTGATCAGGAATTGCATGATAGGGGAAGTCGACGTGGTGACACACGTGACACTCTTCTTGATGAGGTGATTGCACCATGGCCCGAAACCCCTGGTAGTACCGCGACACTGGGAAGTTCGCCTGGTGAAACCGCAGTCGTAGCAGCTGCCAATGAGCAAAATGATTGTGTGAGAGCATCTCTTGCTACTCGCAAACCATCTGTCTTCTCGCCATTGCCAGACCCCGACCAGTCACACGAATCCCCTGAAGCCCAAGCCCCTGTTGACCCAATTGAACCCTGTGAGCCAGAGTTGATGCATCAGGAAGGCGGACACCCTGAGGAGCCCAGCGAAAGTGCAAAGCCAGCAGAGCCAGCTTCTGAAGCCTGGAGGTGTGACAAACATGGCAACCCTTGCTCACCGGCTGCGCTCTACATGCGCTTCTACAGGAAGTTGCGGAGTGTCCCGGCCAATTACTGCCATGGTCCATGGTCATGTTTACATTAACATTCCATGCTCTCAATGACAAATTATATTCCAAAAGACAAGTTGAAATCAAGTGTGAACTTGGCGGGGTAAGAAGCACATGTTGTTGGTGAAGCTATCGTGCCTGTTTCCTATCAACCGGCCATGACATGAGGCCCAAAAGAGAATATTCCAGATGAGGTCCTGGAAAAAAAAGATTGAGGCTGAGACCAGTGGCTTGGGCGCAGCTCAGTGGTGGTTGTCACTGATCTTCAACAAAGCGGATTGTCAGAAAACCAAGTTTTTCATTGCGGATTTGTCTCGACATGGATGAGGGGATGCGACAATCATCCCAAAGAGGGTTCTTGAGTGGTCTCTAAAAAGTATATACACTAGTGTATATATACATATACATAATATATATGAATTGGACAAACCAGCTGGATTTAGGTCAATCGTTTAGGTGTCCGTTTTTGAGCGTGTTTAGGTCAAGAAAGCAGGCAAAACGGACACCTCTAAAAGTTGCTACCCTGAATGAAGAACACGTATGTCCTCTTAATGGTTCACATCGGCCTAATCCACCATCAACCTCTGCCCTGCACCTGCGCCGCCAAGATAAGCCGAAGATGCACGAGCTGTACGCCGTGTGGTTGTCCTGCAAGGGCGTGTGGGGCGAGTGTTCGCTGAAGCTCAAGGCCATCAAAGCCACATCCAATGAGGCCACCGAACTCTATGACTTCTTAACTGCAGCAGGTGTGGAAGCAGAGTTGGGTGAAGATTTGGCCAAGGACTTGATCCAACGTCATGTTGAAGCGGAGGCAAAATTGCCATTGAATAAGAAGGGACAGTTCATTAAGGTGTACCTGGGCTCTTCTTTTATTGCCAACTCAATTCATGAGAAGCTAGTCTACTAGAGATCTTACTCTGTCAATGACAGTCTCCAGCCAAGGCATCCACAGTTCCCTGACAAGAAGGAGTTGTGGAGGTACAAGTGCTTTAAGACGTTTACCCAATCCTACAAGCAGTCCAGCGGTACCGAGATCACGGCAACTCAAACAGCCACTATAGAGGAGGATGACTTTCAGATGTTGACGTGCCCCAGTCTGAATCACTAGATGCAAAAATGTTGGCTTCTGGAGTCTGGAACCCTCATGTGACTTCTAGCCATCCCCGGGCTGCACCCCAGGGAAGATGCTGCTGCTGACAGCGCAGGGATTGCGTTTGGTGCTGGTGTGACCAAACCTCCACTGCCTCCACGCCCAGACAATCTCAAGAAGGAGAAAACTGCAAAGCAATTGTTGGAGCAGGCGATTCTATAGTTCGATTTGCATGCATCATGTGTACAATAAACCCCAAAAGCTCAGACCTTCATGAAACTCTTTCTCAGCTTCAATGCAGGCCAACAATGTTGCCAACCGCTGCTTGACAGATTACATCGAGCTGGAGGCAAAACTCAAACGGGCTGGACCAGACATGGTGAATCTTGGCTGCAACCAGCTTCCTGTTCCCGAACACAAAATCTCTGGCTAGCTAACATTGGATCGCCGTCTCGTTTTCCCTCTCTCACCCAGTTGTTAAGGTTGCCAGCAGACCCCAAAAGACAAGATATGGCGGTGCCCATTTTCCAATGTTTTATATTGAACAAGGGTGCCACCATATCTTTATGGCCCAAGCCCTTCTGCCAGGAGCGATGCTTACAAGGCGGCATTGTTAAAGGACATGAAAGTGTCCTCGGATGCGCTCGTGGTTGTCAAGGATGCGGCCGTGAAGAGCCTGGCGCATTCTAATGAACCGGTTCATAAAGAAAAGTGCACTGCTACTAGCCTGGTATCAAATTTATGTTAGGCGGTTGACTTACCCAGCCGCTATTCTGTTTTGATCTGCACGAGTGTGATAGGTGAAACAAGACCTAGATTGAGGGGTCTGCCGGTCTGCCTTCCAAGGCTTTGACAAACAGCATCTCGTGCTTCAAGAAGGTTGCCAACACAGTGAGGGCGCTTGTCAAGCCAAAGGCGGAGCCAAAGACTAAGCCTAAGGAAAAAAAAGCCAAGGCTTGAAGTCTTATTACTTTTGTATTTCTTGCAGACTGGGGTTGAACACTTGTGGTTGATGCTGCAGAGTTACAAACAATTATCAGTTTATATTGCAAGTGCGTTGCTGCAATGAGTGTCCTACAACATGCCGTATATACATATATTTATATATATATCTGTGGGGGCATCGTTTGCCACAAGTGACAATTAAGTTGCAAATTCCAGTGATGGCTAAATGGTCAGCACCTCGATTAGACACCTGGAAAGCTTTCGCAGTGGAAACTCGTTTTACAAGACAAATCGTGCAGACATCTTTGCCACCTGCGACATGCTTCAAGGCAGTTCGAGAGTGGTTGCTTGCCACGGCTTGTTTCAAGCAAGACCCTTCGTGGCAGGAAACAGCGCAAGAAGTGCAGGGCTTGACTCAAGAAAGACTCCGGACTCCATAGTCATGATTCAAAAGAATCTCCAAGTTCAAGCCTCTCCCACCCTGACACTTGCCAAAGTATATATATATAATCTCTGATGACCTCTCTAGCCAACAAAACTTAAATATATCACATTCTATCTGTGTGTGTGCGCCCTTTGTACCAGCAACATAGCTGCCCAAGTCCTCTCCCACGCAGATGATGCCTCCGCATGTTCGAGCAAGTCATCAGACTTTGCTGCGCACCTGTCCCATGGCATTCAAGGGGTCGCCTTTGGGGTGAAGAGGATGGTGAGAATGATGGGTCTGCCCAGGGACTGACAGTCAATGCGTCTCATGACATGATTTAACTTTAATGAACAAACTTCTAACCCTTGGAAATTGAATCGCGCCAGCTCCCTTCTTTGCTGAGGCTTGATCGGCTGGGAGAAGGCCGTGAATCTGCAGAGGGTGCAGTGGGTGCAGCAAAAGCGGTGGTGAATGAAGTTGGTGCCAAGAATGTGCATCGTATCACCAAGCGAGTGGCAAAGCTCTCGGTACACAATGCCAACCGGGACATGTTCAGGTTCATTCGCCGTCCCCTTGATCTTAGTTGGGTGACGTGTCCTGTACTTGCTCGGCCTGTGTCCACTGATATAATTGAACAGCAAATTCCCATGTTTGATCCTCATGAATTGCTGGAGTATCTCTGGTCAACTGGCCGTTTGAAAGTGGATTTATCAACCATTCAGACTTCCAGCTGAATAGAATATGGTTTTCTAGTTTGGTGGTTCTACCACGTCACTTTCGACATGGTGTTTCTCTTCCTGTCCATCCAAGATGTGAGGAGCTACTGGGATCATTGGAGTCATGTGGCTAGCTGGGCTGCAAACCACCCAGGAAAGCGTTCTAATGCCATGCCCGTGTTCATTTATGGAGACGAAGCTAAGTATTCAGCCACGCATGGGGACAAGTTCATTGCTCTTTGCCTTGGCTCACCATTGGTTTACAAACAACGTGCCTGGGTGGATGGATGAACATGCAAATGTAGTAGTACTGTGTGACATGATGTAGGCCATATGTTCAACAACCTGCGTGCCACCACCCAGGTGCTTTTGCTGAGAACTTCCTTTTCTGCCTTGTGCAATCTTCAACCACTGTAGGCACTGTTGGAGCTGAGCCTTGGCACAATTAATAAAGCCATATCCCACATCCCTCATCCCTCCGCATCCCTCCATTTCTCATGGCCTTCTTTGGTGTGATTGTACAGGAGCTGCAGCAATGCTAGGTTCTGCCTCGGTAACAGACAGGTTGGCCATGGGATCGAGTAGGATCATGCATCTCCATCTGAGGAAACCTTGTATCCTATACTCCAACGAGCACAGTGGTCATTCAAGATCGCTTTGTCTGGGCGTCGACCTCCCACTAGACTGGCCTGTGAGTTTGAGCTGAACGCTCGTCAGAAGCGTTTGGCCGGATCTTCGCTATCATCAACATTTGCCATCACAGAATTTCGTGGCGATTGGGCCTGGCACACGGCTTTCTTCAAGATGTGGACCCACTACTGGAAGTGTGGTAAGATTTGCTTTCGATGCAATGCATCTCGAATCCCAAGGCCCCAACCATGATAGTTTCAACGAGGAACCACTGAATGGGGAATGGAAAACATGGGGGTTACTGTATTCACGCTGCCTCCACGCAGGTTTGGTCCATTGTTCACTGATTTCAATCGCAGCTGGCAAACAAGGGCAGCCACTGAGTGGCTTCGGGATTGCTTGGGAGCACCGCCCAATCCACTTGCGTTTGTTCAAGGAGTTGACGTGGAGATGTTGAGCCTTTCCCAAATCTACAAAAAGCATGTTTGGTCGTTTCTCCCAACTGAACACTTGCCATGTGACCCACACCAATTGGTGTGGGTCACATGGTATACGTATGGAAGAATGTTATTAAACAAATACTATTATCAAACAAGTCAAGGAAATTCTGCAGTATGCACACCAACAACCTTGGGCTGTATCTTGTGATCATTGGGGAGGGCTTGATCATTTTAGCAGAACATCGCGTATTTCAATGGCACTGTTCATTGGACGAGGCGATGGGACATCTTTATCAAGACTTTCGTTCATGGACCCAGGCAACAAAGGTGAGCTGTTCTCACAGGCGGTGGCGATGGAAACACCTCCACACTCAAAATTCAGATGGTGTCCCAACGTTTCCCTGGCTGTGTGCAAAGGCATACAATGCCCGGGTAATTCTGGCATGGCTGGCAGCCCCTTAGCCCAGACGTATGGGCAATCCCTGTTTGAAGTCTATATATTTTTGCTCACCCCAAATGGGTTGTAAGATCTTCCCTTCCCCACCATCCATTCCTGCCAATCTGGAACTTGAGGTGGAGCTGAGTCAAGGACTTCAGCCCATGCTGATGCAGCGTCCAGGGGAGGCGGCTGGTGACTTTGCAAACCGCAAACAGCTGTGGAGCATTGGAATTGCAACAGTGTTCCTTGTTGGTATCAACAATTTGTGTGATGGTGACTGTAAGAAAAGGTGGACCATATACAGGGGCATAAGACTAAGGAGGTGTGTAGCCAACTCTCACTGATCTAGATCGTGTAAGGTCTAGCTTTGCTGAATGGCAAAGGCTGACAGAAGAGTATCCCTACTACTTGACGGCGACACAGGCTCAAGGCCTTCATGATTTGGGCAAGCTGTGCCTTCACATGTACCATCTTGCAGCAGCAGTGGCGGCGATGCAGGGCAAGTTGAGATGGCTGGTGCTACCGAAGTTGCACCTCCTTCATCACATTTGTGATGATCTACTGGTCAATTTCCTGAACCCAAGGGCATTCCACTGCTTTAGTGGGGAAAGCTATATGGGATTCGTAAAGAAAGTTTGCCAAGCAACATGCATGGCCACTAACATGGAAGCTCGGGTGTTGAAACGCACCCTACTTAAAGTTCTCACTGGCTGCCGTGATGAAATCACAGGCAAGATCCTGTGACATATGTGGACGGCGGGATTCAAAACTGAGCTTGGCGCTCTTACAACCTTTTGAAGCATTCATATATGATCATATATGTTTTAAATCTATAGGCATATGAACATAGGAACCGTGAGATGATTATGCTGGTTCGTCGCTGGAACTTAAGTTCCCATAGAACCAGGAACTGAGGCCTGGTTACCTATGAGAGAGGGTCGCGGGAGTGCTTGGGCTTTGTATGGTCTTTGATGCTTTGGATCTTTGTTGGGTCACCAACTGTTCACTGGCGACTGAGGTTCCAGGCGGTTTTCATGGGGAAAGATGCAGTTTCCTATTTCTAGCCCCAAAGGATCAGGGATTCAATTCACTAGAAACAAAAAATCAGGCTAAGCTTAATCCGCAGGGGAGATTCCGACCGCTAGACAGGCAAGGCTATGCAATTCAGGTTTGTCTCATCACCGGTCAGGCAGTTTGCATCAGATGTCTCCTCCTCTTGGGCTGCACTGGTCAGGCGAGGTAGCCAGGGGGGCGCGGTAGCTGCACGTCACATTTTGGCACCTCACTGAAACAGGAGGTGTGGATTTTGGAGAGAACTCGGAAGTTCAGATGGTGTGAAGTTGTTGGCGTTCTATCTTTCAAAAGAATTTGTCTTCAACACCAACATTATTCAATCTCTTTTTTCGCTGGAAAACTCATACTCCAGGTCTGGAGCCCAAGAGGCCAGCCAGTTGCCGGACCGTTCGAAACGTTCCCCACCTCCCGCGGTGTTCGGATGTTTTTTTTGTTTTAAATGTTTTTTTTCGGGTTTTCGGGCCCTCAAACAGTGTGGTAACACCAGAACGGTTCTTAGTAGTTAAGGCCGGGTTCTAGACCTTAGACCATGTTAGACCTTTAGGCGCACTCTTTGGGGTCTCTTGCCGGGACATTTTTTCCCTAGTTATGGGTGTATCGACTGCTAAGCAACATCTTATCCCCCATGAGATATATGATGATATATGTGTTGACAGTTGACAGTATGCTAAACTGGGTGCCAATTGGAGTCACATCCCACTCTTTTGAAACTGCTGGTCCTATATTTTGTGGGTGTACTGTGGAGACCTAAGGGTTTTGGTGTATTTCCCGTCGAACTGGGAGGGCGCACCCCTATTTTGCTCTTTCGCCGGAGCCTGCGGAGCTGCAAATCCTTAGCTCCGCTTGGAAGGTGCTGAGCGCTTTGGATGACGACACTGTCCTGGGCCAGCAGCGGGGGCAACCCAGCCTGGCTCGATCCGAGAAAGCGTCTCGTGATGCACCTGCCGAAGTTACTGTTGACCGGCCCAAGTTTCCCCGTGTTGGGTCGTTTTCTCGGGTTTGGGGGAGTTTCTTTCCCCAGGCGCAGACACACAAGTTAGGGGCGGGGAGGACCCTCTTGATCATCCCACCTGATGGCCTTCCGGCAGTCCCGACGGCAGTCCCGATATCACGAAGACCAAAGAGACTGGTCAGACTGCGGTGTTCGCTGGGACCATGGCAGGAAGTTTTTGTTGGGAGGACTGCAGAGGAGGGTCAGTATACATGTAGAAGAGGACCACCAACATGTTCAACTTTTTAGATCTTTTTATTATATAGTCACCATTAGGGCATAGGGCATATAATAATAGGACAAGGTCCCGTTCACTGCGGACCATTCAAACCTGGGGAAATGGCACCCCGAGAAACTAGGTGTTCGTATTGAAACACCCGTTCTTTTGTGACATCACTGCTCTCAAACGGCCGCGGCTGCGAGTGAGGCACCTTTTTTCCGTCAAGTGGAGGAAGAGCTTTAATGATGGCAAGGCGAGGGAACCGGTTCCGATGCCTTCAGGTGTTGAAAAAGGCCACAGAAAGGTGGCCCTCCCCTTGTCTTGTTGTTTCTTTCTTCTTTGTGATTTGTGATGATTCCCCTCAGAAGTTCTTGTCTTTGTTTCTTCCCCCCAGAAGTGACTCATATGCGTTCGTTCTTTCCCTTTCGCTCTTAGGGAAGATGTGGCCTTTTAGCTAAGAGCGGGCTCATCGACTCCGTCCGGTTGAAATCCGTCCAATTCATTCAACTTGGAGGACCAGCTCGGTCAACGAGTGCTGTGAGGTTCATTGTCCGTCCGTCCGAAAAGACATGCTGTCAGGGCCGAACGTAGGAGTTTTTTTTTAGTGGTGGGAAGGGAAGTGCTAGTGAGGCTGAGTGTTGTGTTTAGAAGGATTTGTTGGATGAAGGAGGTCTAAGGCCAAGGTTCGTGAGGGAGTACTCCATGGCTTAGTCTTTGGAGTTTGGACCATCACTTGCCCTTCCTCCCCTTCGTTGATCCCTCCCAGGTGAAGTATTGTGGTGAGGCGCACGCGCGCACTCATTTTTGCCGCATGGGTGTGTGAAGGTTGTGTGAAGAGTGAAGATAGTGAAGGGTGAGTTCTTTCTTTGTTCCGCTTTCTCAAGCGGATCCAACGTTGGTACCTTTCTTGTTGTCGGTCTTCAAATTTGCGTACTCCAAGATCAGTCGACCCCCAGCAAATGCTTGATGTTTGTTTGTGATGCAGTTGTTACGTCAGGTGACTGCATTAAGTAAATAAGTATTAAACATATTGACGACGACTCTGTTAAAACAGCAGTTAATAGAATTAAATACAGTATATATTTGTGTCGGCAAGGCAAATTGGGTGAACGAACCATCTGCGGAGCCGAATCATCACCGCCCAATCCGTTGTGTCTGCCAAATTCAGTAGGTCTCCCAAAATATGTTTCGCGGTGACGATCTCAAGGCCCCATGGCCCCCATCTGAAACCCGTACTTGATCTTCCAAAGCAGGAAGAGCTTAATCACTCCGAGTTCCAGGGTCCTCCGGGCTCCTCCGGTGTTCCTCCACTCAGCTTGGACTCCTGGAAGCGAAGAAGCCAGGCCTACACGACGGACGCGACGTTGCACATCTCCTTTGGCCCGCTCGTGTGGGTGCTTGGAACGGGCATGCCGCGGTGGCATGCTGGTGTGGCATGCGGAAACCCAATCTTGGCCGATTCGAATGGTGGGAATGGTGGTTTGAAGTTGGACTGGAGAGGTTGGGTGCGAAAGGAAAAGGACTCTCAGTGTGGGTGGCACTGTTCTTGTGCCTCGTTGTGTGTGTGCGCCTTGTTTTGTTGGTGATCACAGCTTCCATGCAGTTGTGAGTGAACCGTGGCTTCGCGAGGTCATGAGTTTATGGGTGAATATATTCCCTCTAGGGCTTGGAGCTTAGCTGTCGTGCCGAAACGAAGCTATGACTGGACCCGGAGATGGCACTGGACCCGGAGAAGGTACGACTGGAGGCCGGATCGGGATGAATGGGATGGATCTGATCCCTTCGGATCCCATTCAACGGGCCGGTTTCTTGAATTAAGGGGCCCCCGACCGTGGGTCCTCATATGTTCCACATCAGTGCATCACTTGAGACCCCTTGGACCCTGGCTGGGTTTAGACTGATCTAGTTCGAAACTTCCAGGTGTCCGTCTCCCTATTCTAATACACACCCAAATGGTTCCTTAAGCTCCTATACCAAAGCATCACTGACGATCTCCACACACCAAGCATGGATGGGGATGGCGGATGGAAGAGATCCTGGATTGGGGAAGTCCCACAAATTACAAGCGTCAAGGTTTTTTGTTTTATTGCATATATATATATATATGTATATCCCATACACTCCATGGGACTGCCCCATTGACCCCAATGAAGGCCAATGGATGCAAATGGCATACATGGAGCGTCTGGGTATTCCTATATATTTGACCTCGGGTGCTCCAGCAGTTCTGTCCCTCGCTCAACATCCCAGGCCAAGACGGCCGAAAAGCTCATCTCCCTCCCCAACCCGGCCATCCTCCACGGACAAGGCCTAGGGACACCACATGTGGCGCAGCACGCGCGCGCGCTTGCGCGCGCGCTACGCGCGTAGCGGAGCCACTGGATGGAGTCCCATGAGTCTCTCAGGATTTTCATAGCACCCCAGACCGCCATGCCGTGAGATATTGGTTGATATGCCACGGGAGAATCCAGCTGCCTGGGGAGAATTGAATCTTCAAGATATAGATCCAAAAGGCTTGCAAGCACCAGCCTTCCTCCAACAGGTCTCATTTTGGACTCGTTTGGAGTCAGTATCTGACCTGTTGGAGGAAGGTTGGTCGTTTTGCTTGTCGTTTGTTTGGATTTGTTCACCAACACGGTCATTGTGCCATCCACAGAGGCTATACAGTACCCGGCAATTTCCAGAGGTGAACGGTCGCAAGATATCACTACCTGGGTCCCCTAAGCCTAAGGGGTGTCTAACAAGAGCTAGCTCCTTATAGAGGTGATTCGGGGTGTCCATGAAAACCACCCCCGTCCGGGGGCCCTGGTACTGTATAAGAGGATTTCTTTTTGACAGGACCCTCCAGCCAAATCGCCGTAGAAACCCAGGCGGCCGCCCAACGGTCCGAGGGTCGCAAGCGGTCCTACGATCCGGACCTTGGCCATCCATGAGAGATCATGAGAGTCTCGGCAGGGTGAAAGTCCTTGTTCTTCGTCCAAAATTCAGTTCACAACCTGCCCAAGCTGGAGACGTGTCTTTTTGCTTTTCGACGCAGTCGTGTCGGCTTGCTCGCTCCAGGCATGGTCGCGCCCTTCTGGAATGCCACTCGAAGCGTCCTGGGCTTCGAGGAGCAGTCGGACCGTATTCTTCCACGTTACGCGGTCTTCGGTCTTCCGAACAGCTACGCGCGTACGCGGTATTCTTCAACGTACGCGTTGCGGTATGCGCTGCGGTATTCTTCACCTGTTTGGGGATGATGTGACCGAAGCGTTCACCGACCTTTGTGGCGAGCCGTGTCGGCGTGCGTGTTTCGCGAGTTTCGGCTCCATCCTGCTCGCACGGTCGGAGAACAGGATCCGTTTGATTTCCCGTGGATTTACAGGTTTGGTTTGGATTTGTAGGTATTTGTTGCTGTATCACAAACAATCCACTAGGATCCACTATAGGCTGGAGAAAAAGAAGGGGGGGTCGCTAGTGTGCGAGGAGCTGTTGCCTGAAGCACCCTCGGTACAACATGGTACATGGCACATGGACTTCCATCACATTAATCAGACACATATCCCGGTTGATGTTTGGAGATGCACGTAACCTGTACGTTGATCTCGACACCGGGATCATCCTTCACGGATTGTGCCGCAGGATATGCATGCCTACGAGGAGACAGGGGAGTGCGCCAATGTGGAAAGATGTGGTTGAACAAGACGGGCCCTGTGGTTGGTTTTAGCGTTACCCAGAGCAGGGCTCCCTACTTTTCCGCTTCAAAGAAAAGTAAGCATCACCTTTTACAATGTTTTTATATGCAGTTGGAACTCGCCGCGCCTTCAAGTCAACATAGGCCTTTGCTTTGTCGGTTTGAAGCCTTTGCTTGTAGGTTGGTGGCCTTTGCTTGTAGGTTGGAGGCCTTTGCTTGTAGGTTGGAGGCCT